TTTGGGGCAGAGGTTGTGAAACTGCATGTTCTCTTTTTGAGGAGATGTACCAAGGGATGCTTCCTGATTCTGCTAAAAATCCCCAAGCCTTCCAGAATATAATTATAGGATCCTGACTCCCTGGGGAAAGGAAGAACCATATACTTGGTGACTTAATCAAAGTCATCACTTTCGGAAATTACGGGGATGGAGAGCTTGGCACTTAGAGGAGGAGGTCTCTCTAGTAGGCCAATAGCCCTTCATCCCTTCCTTTCGGACATTCAATGTAGCCAGAATCTTACTAGAAGGAATGGGATACTCTAGCACTGCTGAATGTAAGCGCAACACACAATTTCCCCTAGGAGCACAGGGCCAGGAGAGGGAAAGCCTGCGCAGCTGTCCAAGGTGGACGATGGCTCTCAACGGGTTCCCTTGGGACACTGTCATGCTTTGAGCAACAATGGCTGTATACATGAGTTTGCAGTGAGGACCCTTACTCTGTTGCCCAAGGACACTGTCTCCGCTGCTTATGCAAAACAACCGAGACAGCCACTGCTGCCAAACCTCCAACCCTACACTGGGCTCTTCTCATCAGAGACAGTGCATGGAAGTAGCTAAAGCCACAAGGCACCTAGGTGGGGTGCTCAGAAGCCCTAGACTCCCTCTTTTTTTAGCACTGGAAGCAGAATGGGAGCTTTACCTCTGTGATTCTCAGATGGAAACAGGAGGGGCATGAAGAATACCTATGTAGCAACTATACGGTTAATTAGAAAAAAAAAAAAACAGAAGAGATAGGAATAAATTTATGGCATCCTAAGTCAGTGCCTGGTTGTGAGAGTCTGGGAGAAGAGAGGTAAGGTATAAATTTAAATCATGTATAACAATTTGCATCAGGAATAAAGGGAGATGCTTCCTTTTGCCCAAACTCAGTGGTGACACCTTTCCAGGCAGTAAGAAAGGCAACCAGAAGAAAGCTGGCAGGGGAGACCTGTGCTCCAGGGAAGGAATGTGAAGCTTTTAAACTTCATCACAACCTTCTAATAACACCTCTGTGCTTGCTTTGCTGTAGACAAGCTTGGAGGCCTGAACAGGCAAGGACTCTCCTTTCCCAACCACCCCAAGAGGAAAAGAACTGTCAGCTTTCCTAAAAGGGAAAGGGGAAAAAGAAAACAAAGTCAAAAGGAAAAGCTCTAGCTGCTTCTCATCTGTTTGAAGGCACAAGGCAGAAAAGCACAGGTTCTGTGCAGCGGTACCGTGGGACCCTGAGGAAGGAAACCTGAAGGCGAGGAGCAGAAAAACATTTCATTCAGGGAAGTTTTAATGAGCTTGAGCAGCTCTTTGATAGGCGCTATTGTGAAGATGGAAACAGAGCATTTGACAGTGTGAGATTTCAAAGAAGGTGGCGTTCAGGAAGCAATTTTCCCTTCTGGCATCTATTCCTTTGGAGAATTCAAAGGAGGCCTTAAGTCATCAGGCTAGGCAGTGACTGTGCTGGAGTTAGAGGGTCTGTACCTAGGAATCTGCTAGACCCCAGCCTCCAGCCAGTACTAGATGCTGCCCTGAGAAGTGGTACAACAGCCTCGCCGAGATGGATTGAGAAGGGATGGAATAAAGAGCATAAAATTAAAGATGAGATCAATAAAATCTGATGAAAGAGAACACCGCTAGCCAACTTAGCAGCTAAAATTACATTTACCACACTGGCCAGGGAGGAGGTAATCATGAGTAATAATAAGTCCAGGCTCTACAAAGAAAGTATGGGCTAAATAACTTAACAACAGGTAACACCAGGGGAAGTCCCTGATTCACCTTCGCAGGAAAGACTCAAGACAGGGTATAAAGCCCATCAATCACACTGAGACACATTTTACTTGGTAAAGGCTTCTTGGTATCCCAGCTCTGGATTCTCAAACAGCCTCTGAGGTCCATCCACAGCTAGAGCAGGGCAGGACTATAAACACTGTCTCCAGATAAAACCCAGCCCAGGGAGCCCTCACCTGTTGCACATTCCATCCCGACTTCAGCAAGATGAGGCACACCAGTTACTCCACTGGCTGCCCTGAGTCTGTGGTGCATTTCTGCCCCATTCCCTGAGTCTTCCTTGCTGCCAGGGTGTTGCTATTAGGGAACCCATTCTCCTACTAGGTTAATCTGAGCCCCAAGCACAGCCAAATTATCCTACTATCTACAGGTTCCTCCAACCACCACCTTCGGAGCCCTGTAAGTCCCCAGAATCTTTGCTATTTTCACTATTGATTAGTAGGAAAGCAATCCGCCTTACTGAACTCACACCAACACTCCAAGGGCTCTCTCAGAAGAGCAGACTGGGGGATGCAAATGAACCCCTAGGATACGCTTCTGGCCCGTGTAGGAAGCTCACAGAACTTCTCTAGACCTCATGTGTAAGGTAACCTGTGAGAAGAGACTGCTCCAACACCTCTCCCATCTCCCAGCCTTTGCTTAACAGACAAGGGCTTATCTACTGCTCCATCTCAGCCCCACACAGCTTCCTTTCTCCAGGCAGGACCAAAAACCTTGGCTTGGACCTCCCTCAACCCACTCTCCACCCTGGCAGGATAACACAACATCTTAGGAACTGTCTGGCTTTCAGCCAAATATAGACCCTGAACACTGAGTCTTGTTCGTGGAAGGGGGGATCCCTTCTGCTCCACGGGGAAATGTCCAGGAATGTGGATTTCAGAGAAGACATTTTTAGAGTTCCCTGATCTCTCTGACCCCTTATCCTAGGCCAAGCGTCCCCAGCATCTCCCCGTTCAGTTCCTCAGCTGCATTTACTGTTAGTGGGGCTTGACACCCGGGCTGACAGGCTTCCCAGGTTCCTGGCTCGCTGAGACCCTGTCTGGTCCCCAGGACCTGTCCAGCACCCCCATCCCTGCTCCTAGCCCATAGCTTGGTCCTTAAACATTGGGGGGTGGGCAGGGGATTGGAAGTGAGTAAGGAGCACTTCAGAAACACCCAACTCCTCACAACATGCGAACCATCCACACGATGCCTGCCTCACACAGGGCAGGTGCTCGCTCCCAATTAAAAACAAAGTAGATGAACATCATTCCCAGAAAACCTTCAGTGTGCGAGGGTTATATAGATAATGAGGGTTCTCACTTTTCCTTTGTTGCTATTAGAGTCTATTAGTTCACTGAAAAGAAAGTTTTGTGCCATTATCTGTTTCTTCTTTGTGAGAGAATCCTTTTTGTCTGTGTCTTGTACTTTGAGTAACTACTTTGAAGACAATGACACACAGTGTATTAAATATTTTTATTGTCTCATTATTTTGTTAGGAAGTTTTGTTTCCTTTTTTCATGAAGTAAAAAAATTTTAAAAAGACAAAGAGGGCCAGGGATTTAGCTCAGTGGCGCCGTGCCTGCCTCACAAGTGCAAGGCCCTGAGTTTAATCCCCTGTATTGAAGAAAAGAAAAAGAGAGACAGAGAGAGAGGAAGAATGAATGCCATTCTATCAGGATAAAACAAATGGATCAGAAGCTCAGCTAACTAGAATCTTCAACATACCACATTTGCTTGCTCTCGGCTCTTTCAAAATGAGAACCGTATAGGGAAATAATCACCTAGTTTTATGATCAGCTACTGGTCCCCCTGCTTAACATTTACTGCGTGCAGAGGGTTTTCGTCAGAGATGGCGTTCAGTGGAGGCTCCTGGATCCGACCCCACGGACAGCGTGTGTGCGGCATCCAATATGATGGCTGTCAGAATCTCCAGCCCTGGATCCTGCCTGCTCTTCTGCACAAGACACAAGCCTAGCCTGAGTCTGCAAAGACTCAATTTGTGATCATCAAAGTCCGCCTGCTTTGATTAGCAACTGAATTCAACCCTCAGTTCTAGGAGAACATATTTGAAATTGTCAACAATATCACCGAAGGGCTGGGGATGAGTGGGAATAGAATGAAGGAGTAATTTCTTTTCACCCTACCCATTTCTATATTGCTTTGGTTCTTTTACAGAGAAGAATATGTTCACAGATTCCTTCAAACATTAAGATATATCAACAAATGACCAAAAAAGGAAAAGTAAGTGAAGGTTTTCAACAATTCTCAGGCTCAGCAGATTTCTGACAGAGGCTGCAGACTGGAAGAAGAGGTGAGGGGAAGGTACCCACCGACTGACCTGGAACAGACCCAGGTGTCCTCAGAGTTGACTTCCCAGGGAGGACATAACTCACCCCCTTGAATTAGTCTCTCCCACTTTTCCGCCCCAATGACCAAGAGCCTCCAAATCTCTACCTAGCTCCTCTCCTGACACACTTAACAATCGCTCAGCATGTCCTCCAGACTTGGAGCCTGGGCAGATGCCTGCAAGCTCACCTCACCTAGGTCATGCCGTCACCTGAGCGGTGCTTAAGACACGCAGTGGTGTCATCCCGATTCCAGCACCTCTGCAAGCAGTTCCCTGATAAAAACAGGAAGTCCCCAGACCTTAGGGCTTGTGTCTGGATGTCTGCCACTCAAAGCTTCATGCGCTCACAGGTAGAGCTTTTTCAGAGGTGACTGAATCTAGAGTGTGTGATTCTGGACTTGATATGGCACAGTGCTAGGATAAGAGGCACTAGGATTAAGGGTGTGAGTACCACCAGTCCTAAGTAGCCTGGATAAAATACAAAGTATAGAAAGAGCTGCAGATGTCCCTTGCTTGCTTCACTATCTTTCGCCCATCATGAACTGTTTCTCCTCTGCGATGCCACCCTGCCTTAGAGCCAGCCAATTATAAACTGAAACCTCTACAAACTGTGACCCAAAATAAGCCTTTCCTCCTTTAACTCTGGGTGTCAGGTATTTTGTCTCATGAGAAAAGTGACTAAGACACCACGGCAAAAGCCTAACCAGCTGTGAGGAGCCACATTTTAGGTCTCGTTCTGATCAATCCGTTTATAGGAACAGCCCTTGCCTCACTTTCTGCCCTGCGAGAAACATAGAAAACCAGACCCTGCCAACCCCTCCAGCAGCAATTATAACCCCGACCCCTCATTCACCCTGGCTGCAGCACTCACCTGCAGATGTAATTTGTCTTGCAGGACTCCTGCAAATTCAAGCAGTTAGGCTTCTCCCGCTCCTCATAGGAGCACACAGGCACGATGGTCTGTCGCCGCCGCTCCGTGCAGGCAATGTCCCGGCAGGAGCAGAAGAGCATTCCATAGCTGTGCTTGGCCGGGACCTTGTCGAAGAACTGGCGGAGGGCCTTGTGGCACTTGCGGCGGTTGCAGACATCATTGGACATGCTGGTGGTGCAGGGGGTGATGTACGCAGACCTGTACTTCTTGCAGGTGTCATCGAGGTTGCAGGCCTTAGCTGCATCCAGGCAGTTGTTCCCTTTGGGAATGTGCTCCACTGCAAAGAAGAGAAAGACAGGCGTGATTACCATGCTCGTCTCCAGGTCTGCTCAGACTTACTGTCTTTGCTGGGATCTTGCTTTCACCTGGCTCTACAGGCAACTCTAGAACCTGAGGTGTTCTGAAGCGAATAGCTTAAAGACTTTAACAAGAGGAACGTTCTGGAGTGCAAACCCAGGGAGTCCATAGCCGCACAAAAGTCCTTATATTCATTCCCCTAGATGTGGAAGCAGGCACAACAGAGTGAGGCCAAAGGAACTCAGGCACCTGCCCAGCTCTGGAGAACTGGCAACCGGGAAAATGTTTCCAGCTCCTGCTTGGTAAACTGAAATTAGGATCAAAGAAAACAGCAACAAATTATATACTTGTTCATGATACAGTATATAAAATGATATGCTGAATGCAAGTATAATTGCCATGCAATCCTCCAGGAATATAATTATGTAATAAATGCATATAGTACATGCTAATTACTATATGATTACAGAGTAATTACATGGTTATTTGAGCCCAGAAGACAAAATATTATGCCAGCCTCTCTAAACAGAAAGAAGCAACTACAAGGAAGCTGTATTTAACTTTGAGCTCACAGCCCATTGGAAGAAAACCAGAAAAAAAAAAACTCACATAAAAATTTGTAAACCTCAATTACCACTTGCTTCACCACATACAACGTGTTAGCTCTACCACCACTGAAGTTTTTGAGTAGGAAAATTTGGCGAGCTTCTGGATGGAGTTCCAATGGCTGATAAACCACGGCTTTAGGATCTTACAAAGCATATGCTCCCTTCTCATGTCACCAGGAAAGCGGTGCTGTCACTGTAGGGCTGCCTTGTGCTGGACAAGAGCAGGAGGAAGCCAGGGTCCCCCGAGGGCCTGGGCATCCTGGCTAGGGCCGCCTCAAGTGGGCAAAGATCCAAATTAATGGATGAAGTGAATTAAGCTTCCCATCTAAAGGAGTTTCTGCACGGAGAAGGGAATGACGGAAGAAACCTTCCAGAGCCAACTGAAAGACAGACAGCAGGCAGACCCATGAGGGCAGGGAGGCAGTGGACAAGCACCACACAACTGTGGGATTGCAACTCCCAGAAAGTTCCTGTTCAGGCCTCAGCTCCTCTGGATTCCATGGCTTATTTTCCTTCTGTTTATGCACTGCAGTTGAAAAGGGCATTTGGGAAATTACGGAGGACAGAGAATTGGCAAGAAGGGGAGGGCCCACCTGGACTAGGTGGGGCTAACAAAGCAGTAGAGTTATTGCACATCGAAAGAGTATATGGAGTATTATTCTGCCTGGAAAACGATGGAACTCCTACAATCCTCGACAACATAGATAAACCCCAAGGACACTAGGCTAAGTGAAATAAGCCAGTCACAGAGGAACAAATACTGCATGAGTGCATTAAAAGAAATCTAAAATATTCAAAGTCATAGGGTCAGAGAATAGATGATGCTTGCTGGATAAAGGCAGGCAGGTGGGTGGTTGCTTTTCAAAAACAAAGCTGCACCAAGTTGAATAATAAGTTCTACTGATCTACTGTACAACATCCTATCTGTAGTTATCAATACTGCATTGTGGGCTTAAAAACTTTTTGAGAGGGCAGATTATATGTTCAATGTTATTAAAATTTTGATTTTTTTTTTAATAGAAAATGAAGGGCACACAAAGTCAGTCTTACATTTTTCAAGGAGAGCAAAACTCCCTCTCCTATTGAAGATGTGCTTTGCTTCAAGAAAACCAGCAAAATGGAACAACATTATGTCCTGGCACCACAAGCCAGTGTTTCACTGTGTCCAAGGTTCAGCTCTGGGTCTGCCTGTGACATCTGAGTCCAACACACTGAACACAAGGCCGTAAAGGAGATAACCGCCTTCTTGGCTGAGCAGTGCGGGAGGGGAGCATTTGCACAGCAGCTCTGCCAGCTTTGTGAGCACAACTGCAGCCTCTCCGTTGTGCTTCCCAAGCCTGCCCCTTTCTCTGTGCTGCACCCCCAGGTCCTCAGGACTTGAGACCCCCCTAGCGAGCTACAAATTCATAAATTGGTTTTTCATAAGGTAAGTCTGAGTCTGCCTGTTAGCGCATAGTGGCTTGGCCTGAAGAGCCAGCAGTTGGTGTGTGGGAACAGAACAACTCCACACACCACTGGTCACAGCAGAGGTCTCAATGATCCCTGACACTGTGATGTCTTGGATAGCAAGACAACAGTGCAGCTAAGGGGAACATGACTTGTACACAAAAACTTCTACAGAAGCAAAATTTAATCTATGGGAAAAAAACAAATTTCCCATGAAGCAATGATCTGTTCCTGCTAGAATGTCAAGATCCCTTGTTGCTAGGACCCTGCTCGCATCAGTGCTCTCCACTCCACTGTTTCCTGCACAGCCCCTTGCTCCTTCAAGGAACTGTTTGTTTAATAAATAGTGGCAAGCTTCAGGAGACAGTGTCTTAGCCTGATAAGAGCTTTGACCATCCTGGGCCATCTTTATGCAGTAAAGATCTTGTCTTTTGTCATCTTTTTGCTGTAACCTATGCTCACCTCACTCAGGTGGCTGGAGGTCTGATCAGCCTCCAATAAGGACTCAAGGTGGGAATTGCCATCATGTGCCCTGACATGGATACCAGGTCTTCAGGCCTTGGGGACACTTCCAGCTGCTTCCTCTTTTGAGATTTCTAATTTTGGAGACTGTGCCCAAGGTATATTCTTGAAGGTATACCATACTCTAGTTTCCTAAACTTTGTAGTTTTATGACAATCAGAATGGAATTAATAAAAATATGTATCATCGAGCCTAGGTCTTTAAGGCTGGATAGTGTCGCGTACATGATTTTGCTGACTACATTTACATCTACACTGGAATCCAATAAACAGCATTAGACAATCCCCAGCTAAGGGGAAAGGAACAGAGCACAGAGGTAGACTGACACTAAGTGACACAGCCAGTGATATATGGAAAGCAGTTCATGAAGTTCAAATGGAGAAATGGCAGAAGAACGAAGTCCTCGCCTGGCACCATGTAACCCGGGCCTGCCAAAGATGAAGGGACCATGCTGATGCTGAGTGCTGCATTCAGATCCAAAGCATAAATTTAGTTTCAGCAAAAACAATATCCTCCCTTACACTAGATTAATGCTATTAGCTTACATTACACTGTATTCAAAGTTTTGTCTGTACCCAACTTCTTCTGTGACTTGCTTTTATAGTTATGTAAAAGCAAAGAATAAAAGCTTTTTATGTTTATAAATTCCAAATAACATTGTAAAACAAATAATAAAAGTTGACACACGATATCCAGGAAATTTCATTTTCTCTGGAAGTAATCCATATAATAATACACGAGCTTTAAAAATTGGCCTTGGTTGGGTGTGGTGGTGCATCACTATAATCCTAGCTATACATGAGACAGAGCCAGGAGGATAACAAGTTCTAGGTTAGGCTGGGCAATTCAGTAAGACCCTGCCTCAAATCAAAATAATTAAAAGGGGGCTGGGGATTTAGCTCAGTGGTGCCACCTACCTCACAAGCGCAAGGTCCCAAGTTTGACCCCCAGTACCAAAATAAAACAAAAATTAAAAGGACTGGAGATGTAGCTTAGTGAAAAAGCCCCTGGGTTCAATCCCCAGGACTGGGGGGAGAGGGGGGATTTAGCCTGGTGTATACTTTTTTGTTATAAATGTCTGCTACCTATTTAAAGTAGTGAAAGCTATGTAAGCTATTAACTTTTTTCTTCTTAATGGTATCAAAAGTAAAAGCAATATTTTAAAGGGAAAGCTTTGTACAAAGTAGAAACAGATTAAACTATGTATGTCTAATCCAATTGCTCAAATTTAACTTCATTTAGGAGTGGGTGTGATTTTTACCTCATTTTCTGTTTTTATCAATATCCAAGCCCTACCAGAGCACAATCTCCTTACAATGACTTCAGTGGCTGTGACAAATTCCAAAATCTACAACCTTTCAGAGGGGCAAAAATGATCAACCCATTTCCACTTCACTGGGTCAATGTGTAATTCTCCCTTTTTCTCTGACTCTTATCCACATAGAATATTTTCATCCTCTCAATTTGACATATAAAACCAGCATTATCAAAATCTAAGAACCCAACAACAAAGAAAATAGTAAGCTAATATTTCCTATAAACATGAATGCAAAATTCTTCTCCAGCTTTTACTAAGTTATATCTACTGACATACTGTATTGAGGATAATACATCATGGCTGTGCTTGGCCCAAGAATGCAAGATTGTTTTAATATTTAAAAATTAATGCATTAATAGAATGTAAGACAAAATCCATATGATTATTTCAGTAGACAAAGAAAAAGCAATCAACAAATTTCAACACTCATTCATCATAAAATATATTCATCAAATAAAAAACAAAAAAATCTTTTCAGTCTGATAAAAAGGATGTTAAAAAAAAAAACCAAAAAACTATTGACCAAAGGGTATAACTATTGCCAAAGTACTCTCTTCCCATAAGGTTAAGAATAAAAACTGTCCATCCTTTAGTATTTACAGTCAATATTGTCCCAGACTTTCCAATAAAACAATGGAAAGAAAAGAGTATGAATTTGGTGAATTCAAAGAAAACAAAGTTAATATTTTAAAAAGCTGTAATTTTTAAGTTTAGAAGTTCATTTTTAATGTTATTTTTAATTTTAAAATTGCATTATTTATGAGGTGTAATGTGATGTTCTGATATATATTTGACATTGTGGAATGACTAAACCAAGCTAATTAACATGTTCATCGCTTTTATATGTTAGCTGCAAAAAAATTAAGGAAGTTTAAAATGTAATTCTACTTAAAATAGAACCAAATAATGAAAAATAAAAAACACTGAAGAATTAATTTAACAAAATATATGCAAGACTTCTACACTGAAAACTAAAAAGCACTGCTGATAAAAATTTTAAAATGTCTAATAAATGGAAATATATACCATGTCCATGGATCAGAAGAGTCAATATAATTAAGACATAAATTATGTTCAATCCTAATG